CCGGTGTCTGTGCAAGTGATACAGGTACCACAACTGTCCAATCATCAACTTCAGCAAGCATGCACGCAATGAAGGTGCGACTTGGCTGGATTTACAAGCAAGGCTGCCGGATGTCAAAAGCCTTCCTTGGGTCCTTGTGCATTCTTAGCATGCGGTCGGGCACATCCGTTCAGAAGGTAAAGGCAGGACTGCCGGCCTATGCTTGCGCAGCGGCATCGAAACTTGCTGACAGCGAAGTGCCATTGCATTCTCAGCGTCTGCATCTTTGTGCTCTCAAGCATGGGGTCGAATCATGCAGTACCACAGCGTGGCTGAAGAAACATCTTGGTCTTGCGAGAAGTCAACATGCTGATGTCTCTACAGATGATAGAGGTGCCACAACTGGCCAACCATCAACTTCAACTTCAACAAGTGTGCCACTCATTCGGCAAATTGGGCTTAAAACGATGCTGAAGTGCAGCTTTCTCGCGCTCCGTAGCCCTGAAATCCTTGCGACCTCCCACCTACACAGCCTCCACAAATCCAAGAAGCTGCACCAACCTCTTAATGCCTGAAGTTGCTTGAATTTCTCTCACTCCTAGCTGCTGGGCTTTCTTGAATCGCCGCTCTGCACATAAAGCTCTTGCGAAAGCGTACACTTGCTACCAGTCATCGAATTGTTGGGGTTGCTAACGACAATCCAGGCTAGCTTGCTCTTTCTGCCAAACAGCGACGCCGGTGTCTGTGCAAGTGATACAGGTACCACAACTGTCCAATCATCACACGCAATGAAGGTGCCACTTGGCTGGATTTACAAGCAAGGCTGCCGGATGTCAAAAGCCTTCACACTGAACTTCAGGTCAGTGCACAATGCCCCCTGTTTGACCTCAGATACACGAACCATCAAAGAAACATTGTGTTCCCCAGTTCCACAAAACCTGCAGTCCCAAGAGAGAAGAAACAACAACAGCTCCAACACATACTCTAGAAAGAATCAACAGAACAAATGGCTATGCAGGAGGCAAGCCAAGCTCCTGCAACTGAAAGATCACAGCAATGAGAGAGCACAGCAAAGGGACCGATGCTAAACAAGAGCCCAGAGTGTGTACAACCTGCCAAAGCCAATGCCCCCAAAGAGCCTTTAAGGATCTTTAAGGCACGTCACAGAAAACATCACAAATGAACCAAGCCATGCACAGTTTGACATGTAAACAATAAAAAGCACTGAAACGAACCAACTTAAGCAACACTTCGAAACCACAAAGTGGAGACATGAAGAAACAACCACAAAGAGAACAGTAATGCGGTATCTCATTCAGTCAGCCAAGTCGCATCAAGTCGCAGTGAATATTGAAGCGCCAAGGACATGCTTTCCAAATTGGGTCCCAACTTCCATTGCAATCCGCCAATGGGTCAGGTCTCGTCTCTGCACATCGCACCTCGATGACATGTCACACGATCCGCGCAGAACTGAGGCACATGTGTCTCCGACTCATACAATTATGTTCAATAGCACGGAAGCTTGCGAAGCTTGCACGCGACACCACACTGATTTGCTCAGCCAGATCTAGATTGCTGAATGGGTTTAGGATCTATAAAACTTTGAATCCTCCTCCTCCTCCTGCTCGCTGCTCCTGCTCCTGCTGCTCCTCCTCCTCCACCTCCTCCTCCTGCTCCTGCTCCTGCTCCTGCTTCTCCTCCTCCTCCTTCTCCTCCTCCCTCGTCCTGCTTGCAGTTTGTTCTACGACAATTGTTGCAAAAAGAAGTCGCAACCAACCTTTATTGAGTTCGCTACTGTCTGCGGGCGCAACCCTCACCATGTGAAGGCCTTTCAGACGACCAAATAGCTAAGGCATATGTGCACTTTGAACCTGAAGAGCTGGGCTACGCCGACCACACTCGCCACTGTTTGAACCCAAAATCGAAGATCGGTGAAGCCCTGCCTGTGAGCCCCAGTGGTGAATTTTGCCCAATCGTGTGGTGAGAAGCGCCGCCACTAAGGGCGCATTGCGAAACAAGGTGTCCTGCGGAACAAATGTCCGCAAAGAGTTCAGCATTTCAGCAACAAGCAATAGCCGCAGCCGACCTATAGTCAAATCGTTCAATTTGCTTCTCCAGAACAGCATCACTGAAATTGCCACAGGACTCAAATTGGCACTCGCTGACACTTTTCCAACATCGATTGTCAACCGGGCACTCCTCAACGCATTGGTTCGTGAGGCCTCACCCACACAGAGGTGCGGGATATAAACGAAACACTCCATGCTTACATGATTCCTGAGTCTTCTGTTGAAGCCGTGGATCACCCAAACCTTTTTGTGAAATGTCAGACACAAATCGAAGCGGCGAAATTCTATCATTGTCTCTACCAGTACCATGACTGCTGGGGAATGCCAGGGAATAAGTGGGGAAAAAGCGGTGGAACCTGACGCAAAGCAAAAGTGAAAGAACGAAACCTTCCTGAGAGTCTGGAACTGTCTCAAGCCAGCTCAAGAAAAGCCCTATTATTATTATGGCTGAAGGTATAGCGGTAAGGTTTAACAGTACATTGCACGTCATCTTCATAAAGAATCCCAACGAAGACTACATGACCATCTCCAATAGTCTGCACTCACAGTTAGACATGCCTCGGCAGTCCTTCAAATTGATGCATTGCCGCTTCATGAACTTCATGGCGGCTCTCCGTGATGTATCTACGTAAGTAAATGTGTGTGTGTGACCTTAATTAGACAAATAAAGCTGCACAAAGAAGCTTTACCAGACGCTCGCTCCAAAAGTACCAAGCAAGTCTCCAAAACACACGGGGGGCGGAGAATAGGGCAGCAAACATGGACCTGTCGATGTTTTATGGATCCATGAGACTCTTGAATATCGTCATCAACTTGTGGTGAAACAGGTTTATAGATCTTACCTGAGTGGGGAAGAGATGAATGCATCATGCTGCATCATGCTGCATGAGCTAAAAGCCAGCATTGCAAGACGAAGTGCACATGTTCCAGCTGTTCGTTGGACATGTAAACTTCATATGGAGGGGCTGAAACAATTAATCAGCCAAAGTAACTCCTAGGATAGAGATCCAACGCAATCATCAAGCAAGGATCCACTTTCTTTTCCGCAAGCATTGGCGGGTGCTTCCAACCAATCACTCCGAGAGGAAGTGGACCTGGGCAATTCCGACCTAGGCATTGAAGGAGGGCAAAGGAGCCAGCAAATTTCACCGAAGCGCTTGAATGACAGCCTCCTACTGTAGTGATGTCAGGAAAATGAGAATGGAGGGCAACCTCCATTCGTTGAGAGGCTAGAGTATGGACCGAGCTGCCTGCCACTGAAGCGAGTTTGAAGAATCAACATCAATGAAACGTTGGAAGCACACCCTTCGGTTGATTACACGTTGGAAGCACACTCTTCGGTTGATCTGTGGCCTGCAGATCGAGCCAAGATACAATGGCACCAAGGATGCCTCCAAGTAGAATGAGGATCCACCTCCAAACAAACATCTCGGGATTCTCGCCCAGTCATCCCAGTCTTCCAACAACAAAAACAGCGGCCAAACCAAGAAACAAACCGAACATCCACATCTGTGGCATCTCTTCATCTGAGCTTCAAGGCTCGTCTTCTTGAAAGACCGGATGAAGCAGATTCTCAAACTCGTCAGGTGGCCTCAGCTCGATGACCACGGGGGATGGGGATGACGAGGCAAAGCGGCTTTGTGCTGGAAGGAAAGAATCTGCCATCAACGTAGCCGCATTAATGAGGCGGGCATTGATGATGCGGGCTAGGAGACGAACATTCTTTGCATGGCACTGGCATTGGACCTCTCGCACGGTTCATCGACAGCCATCTCATTTGGGAACCAATGTCATCGCAAGGACCATGCAATGTCAAAACACGGTGCAAAATCACTTGAAAGTATTCTTGCGTATTCTTGCTAACCTGTATTGGATCTTTGAGCTCAGTGCCTGAACACATCAGTGGCAACGGAGATGTACTGGGCAGCCTCAGCTCTGCACCCCGCTTCATGCGAAGACCTGTCACTCCAACATGTTTTGAGAAACACATCTGTGAAACAGGTAGGTAAGGTATGGTAAGGTAGACTTTAATGTTGATACTTCGCCAATACCCTGGTTTGCATTCTACATACTTCTCGGCATCTGCCAACCCCTAGGGATCGTGCAGCCTCGTGAAGATCGTCTGACTCCGCAATGCGTTCTGCAGACGCCTGATGTACCGGCTGGCTGCTCACTGCGGGTTGCAACATGATGGCACTAAGAAACTCTTCAAGAGTACTCAGACACGTTGAGACGCAAGAGTAAGACATGTGTGGGCGAAAGCCAAAGGTTGAAAAACAAGTGGGCCGAGGTTAAATCCTAAACCAATTGTGTGCAGGTCAACGGTGAAAATCTATGGGGTAAGTGCTAATTTGTTATCAGCTGTGGCTCCGGGCTCCCACCAAGTCATCCTGAATGGGCGCAAGACAGTCGTGGTTTCTCTGACTCCTCACTGGTCAACATGGGCTGGTGGAAAAGAAGTGGTCGCCAGATGTAGCCACTATTCCCATTTTGAAGACCCACAACCTGTACCACACCACTGTCCATCCCTCTGAACCGCCCAAAGAAAAAACACCGCGGTTCACGCTGACCGCGCGTGTTTCTCGCTCACCGCCGCGGGTTCGCTCCGCGGGTTCGCTCCGCTCCGCTCCGGGAACCGCCGCCTCCAAGGCCTTGAACTTCTCCGGGCCCAACGCCACCCGCCGTGCCTGGGGTCGGTCGGCCCGACGCGTCGGACCGAGTCAACGAGGGGGGGGGGTTTTGCTTTCTCGCTGTGTGACATGGGGTGCTTTCCGGGCGAACCCGAAGGTTTTGAAAACACATTTTGGTGTTAGTCTATTGAATTAAAATGATGATGAATCACTTACAGATGTGTGTCTAAGAAAGAGCTAACAAATGCATTGCAAGGGAGAAATCGACTCACAATCCATTACTTGAGCTCACTTCCCCTCATGGTTCTACACCTTTCGCTCTGACTGGCTGATGGGATTTTTGCCAAGCATGTTCGGAGGGCGGGTGCAAAGCTCCTGGATTGCCGTCACTCTTAAACCTTCATAAAACGAAACTGCAGCAGCGTCAACCTTCTGCCACTCTGAATTCCACTCTTCTTCTCCATGTCAGTGTGCTCAAAAACACCAAACACCTAAGGACAGTACTATCCATCCGGTCACCGGGCCCATGGTCTTTCTCATCATCTTGTTGGTGTTTTGGCAGTATGCATCCTGCAAACACACGCAGCAAGCACTGCGTGCGAGTTCGTGTGTTCTCACGGGAAAGTGGGCAGTGAGCAGTGCAAACAGGTGTAAAAGCTTGCACATCAACCAAGGTCTCCCACATGCAGATCCGCCCATACCGGCAAAGTCTGCAAATACTCCACCACCTCAGTGGTGCGGTTGTCTGTGCGTCTTGGGGCAAAGACTCAAGGCGAACATTGACTTTCTGAACATGGAAGCCAAATGGGTTGAATGATTCTTCTGAGGCACCAGCCTTGTCAAAGTCAAAAAAGTGATCTACCAGCATTTTGGAATAAAGAACGGCAACATCCCTGCGAGGCAAAGAAATGACTGTCCATCACTCTGAATCAGTGTCCATTGCTTGGAGCTGAAAACAGGATTCTTCAGGCCTCTGTCTCTTGAGAAAAAGCCCTTGGATAGTGTAGATGTGTTTCCCACAAACCTCAGAGATTGGTCGGTGTTTATCGATGCGTTCAGACTGGAGTGGCCAATTTTTTGAGTTAGAGGCATTGCAAAGCATCTCACAAGGAGAAAGTCCTATCATAGGCGCCGGACATTGATGGGTCGTGGGAAGCAGGGCTTGAAGCACATCTGGATGGCAAGCCTGGATGTGAAGCTCTTCAAACAACTCATCTTCAATCCCCAATGGCCACATTGGGTCAAAACATTGCATCCCAAACCATGTTACGTTTCTTACGTTGACATGTATATCTGCAAGGCACCAGTTGGTGAAAATGCCCAGGAAGAAGCCCGTGCCCGGCAAGAGGATCATTCGACCTGGCAAACACGGACCACGCAAACCACACCACTGAGGATCCCACTTGGCCACGCCACCTCTTTCTTGCATTTAAAGATCGATGAGGTGCTCTTACACTAGAATCTATCTAAACAAGGTGGAGACTGAAAACAATCAATTAAAAACAAAGCAAAAAAAAACACACAAGCAGGTGTGACCAAACACAAAACAACAAAACATGTGACGCATCATGCTCCACCACACTACTCCCACTGCCACCGGGCTGAACCACCGGTCGCGACCTGTTGCATCCAAGTGGTTGAAGGCCATGAGCCTAGGAGACCCCACACACAGAGACAGCGAGGTTGGCAAAGATCCCAAGATATATGGTATTTTTATGTAGTTGGAGGCCATCGCTTCTAGGGAGGCCATCGCTAGTAGGTTGGAGGCTATTTCCTGTGCCCAACATCAGGCTGTGCAGTTGTGCCCAAGTTCTGCAAAGTGGCTGGATGAGACCGCACACAAAGCCAAGAGCTGCCCCACAACCTGGGAAGATCCACGGATATGCGCAGCCCAATCGGCTCTTCAACAATGGGGGAGGTCATCTAAGGTGGTTTGGACAGAACTCCTGTCAAAAACCTGGCATGCGCTTCGTTTGGTCTGAGTCGTATACCTACTATTGTCTGAACTGCGGGTTGTATTTGTTGTTCGTTGTCTGTTTTCAGACATATGCAGAAAGACTGAAAGACTGTCAAAGAAACATGTTGTCATCGCGTAAAAATATCCATATACAAACTGCAAGTAGTCTAAGGACCTTTGCTACTCTGACCGCTTCCAACCATCAGTGACTTGTAGCCGTTACACTGATGGATTTCTGTGCCGATGGAACCGCATGTCTCTGGGTTCCCCGGCGCTCGATGAAGCGAAACTCCTTCTCCCCCAAAGAGAGGAAGAAAAGATTCAGGAGCTCCTGAATCGTTGAGAACTAGGATGTTGCGCTAACGGTTAAAAGAGAACACTCCCCGCACCCCTATGTGTTCTTCTTGGAAAGAACGGGAATGGAAGCTAGAAGACCCTGGAAAAAGAACTGTCAAGTCTTGGGCCGCCCCATGTACACACCCACATCGGACAGTAGGCGATATACCATGTCTTCACATACTTACCACTGCTTCCTGGTGGATTCCAACTTTGCTCGATCAGCTGCCACATTGCAGAAAACGGCAAGCTACTGCCTTGTTCTGGGTGAAGACGCTGACGATCATGCCATCATTGTCCAGGCCTAGCATTTCACAGGGTCAGTGCAGGAAAGGACCAAGAGCTTCCTGATTCCAACATCTTGTCCGAACAACACAACAACAACCTACTGGTACAGTCCATTGCTACCAGTTTCCCGATGTGTCTCGGCCACTCCGCGCGAGAGCGGTCCCCCAAAAGAAATGGTAGTAAAATAGATTTCGCCAAAAAAGCTCGGCCTCGCTCGGAGTCACAAAGAAGGTCCACGATCTTGTCCCACATCTCTGGGAAGGTTTCCTGCAGGTTAGCGCTCCCGAACGGTGAACCCTTCGCAACAGTAAAGTTACGGCCGAAGGACAGCTGGCCAGCTATCAAGAAACGAGGATGCTGATGAACTGTTCAAAGAATTCGTTTGATGAGTATGTATATAAATATATATACATAAGTATAAAGTAGGTTGGAGGCCATGGCTTGTAGGTTGGAGGCCATCGCTATTGTGTTCTTGTATAGAACAAAATCCATGTGATGGATGCGCCTCCACCTGCTCCATAGCTAAAGCCACCAATTCCTCTTCCACATTGCTGGGCAAGCGGCTGTTGACCTTTACATGAACCCTTCCCTCCAGAATCAGAAGAAATGAGAGAGTTATGTGGCCAAGCGAACAGCACTCTTGCACTACTTAAGCGGTCTGTTGTTCCGCAGATGTGAGTCATGTGAGTCAAAATATCCCATTGCCCACCTCAAAGGGGGTACGAAACCAAGTGTTTCGCCGACCCAGATCATCATTCCGCCCCCACAAAAAGAATGGAGCTCAGCTCGGTGCCAAGATGGACGGGAAATGGCGCCGCGACACGCTGTTGATCGTGGCCTGGGCCGAAAGCACCGAGGCGAAGCAGGGGTTTCATCCGGTGGATCCGTGAAGATCGGTGGATCTCCGTGGATGTCCCTGGATGGATGCTCATGTCAGCCATCAGCTCTTAGGGGTTCCCATCTGCTTCAAAACACCCATGGAGTGGCCTCACAGATGGGGATCACGGCGACTTGCACATCACTGCGGGCCACAACTGGACCAAGGAAATAAGCATTTGGCCCGAACCACGCGCTCGAGCATGGGATGCATCTGGCCAAATACGACAGGCACATATTCATCTGAGATTACGAAGAATTACCAAGAAGGGATCTGCATGTATTAATATGACCTTGTCAATTCTGTGCATCAAGAAGCAGCAAAAGCCCAAAAGGCCAAAAATTGCCAGGCAAAAGCCATCACAGCTCATTTGGCTTCCAGGTGTGTTTTAAGAATTCGCCTTTGAGAAGAGGACACTGGTATCCACTCGTGCAAACCAATCTCGAGGTCCCATGAGATATGGCCTTGAGGAACACAACACATTTGCAGACCGAATCGCACTGTGACGCGCGAGCAAACAACAAACAAAGAAGTGTCTCCCTGCCTTGCACATTTGAAGGCGGTACGAGCCATCTTAGTGCATTTCCTCAACTGTTTTTGCATGTTGTTCCATGCCATTCAGCTCTGCATCAGCGAAACGTGCATCGACTTGACTCACAAGTCTACCCGGCAGGCCCTTTGGCCTCGGCACAACTCCTTGCCAACCGATGCCCATACCAGTATCTTGGTACCTGCAAGAGGCAGTTTCCTTTTGGCATTGGGTTGGAGTTGGCATGGGCTGAAACGTGTGCAGGCACTGCTTGAGAAAAAAAGAACTCGGATTGGCAACTTTGAATAAAAGGACCGGATAACCCCACATGATAAGTTTTACAAATTTCAATTGTATATGAACATCACATGGGAGACGGAGTAGTGAGATGAAAAGTCAAGAACGAAGTGTGAGGAGAGAAGGTATATGAGGCGGTTGTGCTAAGACGTGTAGTATAAGTGATGATGTGATGGATGAGGATGAGAAGGAGGGGAGGGAGGAGGTGTGTGTGTGTGTGTGAGTGAGTGAGTGAGTGAGTGAGTGAGTGCATGAGTGAGTGAGTGAGTGAGTGAGTGGGTGGGTGGGTGAGTGAGTGAGTGGGTGGGTGGGTGGGTGGGTGGGGTGAGTGAGTGAGTGAGTGAGTGAGTGAGTGCGTGAGTGAGTGAGTGCGTGAGTGAGTGAGTGCGTGCGTGAGTGAGTGAGTGAGTGAGCGAGTGAGTGAGTGAGCGAGTGAGTGGGTGAGTGAGCGAGTGAGTGAGTGAGCGAGTGAGTGAGCGAGTGAGTGAGGTGAGTGGAGTGAGTGAGGTGAGTGGAGTGAGTGGAGTGAGTGAGGTGAGTGGAGTGAGTGAGGTGAGTGGAGTGAGTGGAGTGAGTGAGTGGACTGAGTGAGTGGACTGAGTGAGTGGAGTGAGTGAGTGGAGTGAGTGAGTGGACTGAGTGAGTGGAGTGAGTGAGTGGAGTGAGTGAGTGGAGTGAGTGAGTGGAGTGAGTGAGTGGAGTGAGTGAGTGGAGTGAGTGAGTGGAGTGAGTGAGTGGAGTGGAGTGGAGTGGAGTGGAGTGGAGTGGAGTGGAGTGGAGTGGAGTCCTTTCTTGCGCCCATCCTGGCTCCGAACCCCTGACCCCGCTACAGCTTTTCCCCATCTAATTCTGATCCAAAACGAGCCTCCCCTGCTCGCACTTTCGCTGCCAAACGCCCCCTCTGAATCCCTATTAAAAAAACTTTTCTTTCCTTTCTACACCAAAGGCTCCCACACCTGGTTCCATTTTTCACGCGCATCTTGGCCACAAACACGTGGTCACGCCACGGCTTTCGCCCATCTGCTTCTGATCCAAAACGCCCTCCCATGGTCGCACTTTCGGTGCCAAACGCTGCTTCTGGATCCTTGTATATGGCACAAAGATAGTTCCATTTTTTCTCGCGCATCTTGGCCCCGAAACCCCTGGTCACGCCACAGCTTTTTCCAATCTAAGTCTGATCCAAAACGAGCCTCCGAGCCTCCCATGGTCACACTTTCGGCGCCCACCCCTGCTTCCGGATCGGTGGGGGCCTAAGGGAGAACGACCGCGACATGGTGAGCAAGCGCCAGAGGGGTTCGTATGTTGCTGTAGGTTGCGGTTCCAGTGATGCATGTGTTCGAGCAGCATGGAGCACTGGAAGCGTCTGTTGCCTGCAGGTTCGTGCTGAGACGAAGAAGCGCACGGCTCCCGCACCTGTAATCCCTCGCGCGCTCCCCCTCCTTCAGCCGGGGTCGGCGGATACATTATGATCATAGATGATTGGGTGTGTTTGCATGACCGTGTGGCACATGTTCCTGAGCTTGATGGCAGATCAACGAGGTGTTGGAAGTTGATCAATGATCACAGTGCAGATACGGTCGGTTCGACCCGATCACAAATGGATTGTCAGGTACTGTCAGGTTCTGACTCTCTATCCACCCAGGCCAGACATCACAGTGATCACTGCACATCACCCATCC